CGGGTCTCTCTCTGGCCAACTTGGGCCTCCGCTCGGACTTGAATTCCCTGCTCTTCCACTCCCCAGGTTTGATCGCTGGACCCTTCCATCGGAGGTCTGATCGGCCCATCTGGCGTCTTGGGCCTCAGTCCCATTTGGGGCTAAACCCTGTTGTGGCGCATTGGCTCCAGCCACCTCTCCTTGTACAAACCTCTCCTGCGTGCCCTGTCTCTGCTGGTGTTGGGAGAATCTCAACTTATGCCCCCCTGATCTGCGACCTAGAGCGCCTGGCCCCTCACCTTGTCGCCCTCTCGGACAGGTGGCTTCCGTATGGAAGTACCATTTGCACCTCTTACACCAATCAGTGTAAGGGGTGGCAATTTCGACTTTCCATCTTTTTCCTAAAGGCGCTTGAATCGTCAGGTCGTCATCTACTTTTTGCCTTACTTCTGGTGCCATATCAAACTTGATATTCATCAGTTTCGGTCTCTTGTTGTCATATTCTTGCGGATGCATCAACAACACCTCCCCAAACATCCCTTGGATTGCGCTGTAGAGATAGTAGTACGCATCAAGGGGGACACGTAAGGCCATAACCCAAAAATTGGTTTCTGCCTCCTGAAGCCTAATCTCCTTCAGCTCCTGAATAGGAAGTCATGGTTTGAACGTGACTACGTATTCCTCTGACTCATGTAGTTTAATCTTCACTTCCTTTTGTCTGAGCAGCCAAATCGCAATTTCCTTGAATCTTGCGACATAGGAGACAACATTCGCTCTCTCGAACTTCACCCTCCCTCTATCCATGTCCGACCCAAAGAGTTTTTTGACAAACCATCCATCTTCGTAGGCTCTAATTAGGTCTTCCTTGACCTGTCTTAAGAGTTGTCTCGCCTCGCCTTGAAAGGTAACAATTACAGTATGTTCTTTAAGTCAAGCCTCTTTAACTGCATTGACCTGTCCGTTGACTATGAACCGCTTACCCTCCCTATCCTCCATTACTTCTCCAAGTGAGACATCTTTCGGGCAGACTCCTTGTATGTAAAATCTTTCCACTGATTGTCTAAGTCTGACATTAGCATCCACCGCCGCCGATGGAACGAGGGGAGTAGATCTCCCCACACCCTCCTGATTCACCATCACCTTCGTGCTAGGGCGACAGTGGATGAATGAATGAAGAAATGTCCAACCAAAAGCGATGGGTCGTTGAGGTTGGCCTTCCCCAGCGACTGCTGGCTTACACTTTCGCGAGAAGGAAGCGCAAGGATCTGCATAGGCTTAGGGAAGGGGTAGCGAAGCGCCTCACCAAAGCCTTGGGAATTACGACTCTTGCTGCCAGGAGCATGAACTACCACGTGGCACGAAGACTGCCCCTGATGGTACTACCGTTATGAACAACCAGGGCTACGAATAAGCCTACCCTACTCTAAGCTAAAGGACTACCTAGGCGGACCATGTCAAAGACAACTCTGATGCAGGGCCAGACATGGCCGACGCCCGCTCCCCGTCGTGCTAACGAAGGTCGCGGCTAGGTAGCGCCGTCGACAAGCGAACGGCGACGGTCGGGAGCGGAGCGCTACCCTACTGTTAGACCACGCCCTGCGTGGTGGCGCAGCCTGGGGTGTGGGGGCAGATGTTGTGGACGCGGGAGCAATTGCGTGCGGCAACAGTGCCGTCACACAACATTGGTTGGCTGAAGTGGTTGACCCTTTTTCTTTCCAGGTTGGGAGGCTAAGTTGTAAAAGTAACCTATACAGCATTCTTCGGAGGCCCGCGGAGGTTGGGTGCTACTGGACCACAAAGGCAGGCGGTGCCAACAAAAAGAAAACAAACCCGCCGCGTGGTCGCTTTGGCCTCCCATCTATCGATAATAGGCTTGAACCTCCAAGTCAAAACTGCAGAAAGCGGTCTCTTATGGCCGCCCACATGAGACGAAATTCAACAAGACTCCTGAATTTTTAGTGCTAACTTGCTTTTGGTCTTCAAGGTATTTTGATAAAGCAATCTGGCTGCTGTTGCAACCCCTTTAATTGTGCTTCAAGGTTAATTTTGGAAAGCTGATAGCTTCAGGATGGGACGCTGGACCTGGTTTCCAGCAGTGGGATGGGATTGTTAGTCTTTGAATAGTTTTTGGTTGAGCTGGGCTTGTAAGTTGAACTGGCTGAGGCTGCCAGGACAACTCCGGGTCGAACTGTGAGGTCCCCGACCTGTTCCATTTTTGGCAATATATCAATGAAGCTTTCCACATAGACGATTGCGAAAGCAGAGAGCAAAGAGGGGGGACGCGAAACAATCAGTCAGCAGATACTGAGCTTATCCAACTGCCACGACCGTCTTCCCACGAACACCACGCACGCTTCCCTTGACTGCACTTGAGCGGAAAGATAGCTTGTATTCATTCATCATGAAGGTGCTTTATGTTCGGGGAACGACTGTAGAGGTGTATCCTTCGGTTAGTAGTCAATCAATACACATCAGAAACCCTTTGCATGCCACACACATACAGACACACACACACACACACACACACACACACACACACACACACACACACACACACACACACATTTCTCAGCGGTGTCGCTAACTCTAGGCGATGTGGTGAGTGCTTCCTTATCCATCAGTCAGTCAAATGAATCCTGGGCAGACTCTGTACAGGTTCAACCTCCTGACCACGTCCGACGAAACAGTCTCTCTGACATAGTCATGCTTTTTTT